CCAATGAGCAAAGCTGTACGGAGTGCCAGAAGATAAAACACTGCGCAGTAAAGCAAATGTGAAGAACACAACAATGAGTTTGTCTACACGTGCTCGCAATGTGAGGCAATAAACCCTGGTGCAGTTTGTGTCAGAGTTTACTGCTTCTGGGTGCCACATTTGTATGTGCACCTTCAGACCACAGCACGTTGAGCCGGGTTAGAGCAGCCTCGGCTGGCAGAAGGCCTGGGGGTCAGCCTGCCAGCTGCTCTGACCTGGCTCAGTGTGCTGCAGAGGGGCTGGCTGGGGCAGGAGGGTGCTCCAATGTGGGGCTAGCCAGCTGGCAGCCCCAACACTGAAGCACCTTTGTGCTCCGGCCAGCCCCATCTGTGTCTACACGTGTGTTATGGAGCACTAAATAATGTTACTGCAGGGTAGTACTTGTATTGACACTATACCTACGGAGGCCTTTATTAGTTTACTGTGGTCTAATAGGGCCGTGCGTGTAGACACGGAGACTTTATTGAGGAGCTAATTAGTCAGCTCCATAGTAAACATCTCATGTAGACACACCAGATATATGTTAATAGGGAGGGAATTACTGGAGAAAATATATTGTTTGTCTACACCGAGGTGTTCGGTAAAAATTTCCCTCTGTTACTGAGTGAGAGCCCTAGGGTAGATGTAGGTTGTCACTATTCTTTTTAATGTTGATGTATCTAATTCTGTTCAGAGCAGGTCTGGCTGAGAAGCATCAGTAGCTGCATAAGCCCTGGCCACACTTGAGCTCTTGGGATTGAAACCACTGATAGAGATACTTAGCAAGAGTGGGGGTTTTTGATGCAGTGCCCACTCAGGGGAATGGAAAAGGGTTCTGTTGGATTCAGTGGGCACTTCATTAAGTAAATGAGAGTGGTTTATAGGGGTTTAGAAGTTTGGATCCTGTCAGTGAAGAACTTCTCCAATACAGGAACTGAAAATGATGACTCCAGACTGTCCCCCGACGACCCCTTCCATGCCCTGGTATAGGGCAGATACTGGGCTCAGGCTGGAGATCTGTAAGGGTGTGTCAGAGTAGGGCAACATCACATGGGGCTTTGGAGATTCAAGGCAGCCCTATAAGCCACAGGGCAGCTAAGCAAGTCTGCAATAGTGCCTTAAAGGCACCTTGGTTCTCCTCCAGGACACTGAGGATTTAGGCCTGTCAGTTATCAGAGACACCCATGCCCCTTTACTCCTAAGAAAATCTAGGAGAAAAGTCATCAGAAAAATGTTTGCATTGCTGTGACACCTTTTCATTGGAGGGTCTCCAATTACAAACAGTAAGGCTATGATTCCTGATTTTGGATGCCCAACCTGAGACTTGTGGGAAGGTATTATATTACTTGAATATGTGGAGCAAACCCCTGCAAGCCAGGTTCCAGCAGTACCTCCTGAAAACCACAGCCCTCAAGATGCCCACACTTATTTGACCAGACTTATTTGAATCACTAGAGTCACTTGAAAATCTTGGCATAATTAATTTATCCTCCAAACTCCCCCCAAGCACCAGAAGAGTGTCCCCATTTTATAGATGGCAAAAACTGAGGTAGCTGGGGACAGATTTTTTTTTTTTAAGACACTGGGTGCTTCTGCACATCCATTAATGTGCTTTTCCTAATGCACATTTAGTACCTCCAATATGAGGTACTAAATAAATGCACATTAGGTTGCCCAAATGCACAGTGCTGAAAGCGCACACTTTTTAAGTGACAGTTAATGCACAGAGTTGCCTATTTACTGTGCAATAGTGTAGGGGTTTTCAACTGGGGGTACACGGCAGTGGCGTGGAGAAGCCAGCAGCACTTCCAGTTTTGCTGGTGGTACTTCCGGTTTCACTGGCAGCACTTCCAGTTTTGCTGCTGTGCACCACACAGGGAACTCCCCTCTCCCCCTGCTCCGACCAGCCACCAGGGGACCCACCCCACCCCGCTCATCAACCAGCCACCAAGGGACTTCCTGCTTCTCAACTGGCCGCCAGGGGTACCCTGACTAAAAAAGGTTGAAAACCCCTGCATTAGAGTATTTACAGTTTTTTATGCAATGCTTTAATGCGCAGAAAACAGGCTACTGCACATTAAAATTCACATGTAGACGCACCCAGTGAGGTTGCAAAAATGCAGATAAATGCTTAGTCGAATTCTGCAAAGTGCCTGAGTGTTTGGAAGCTAGTCGAGTTAAACAAATAGAAGTCATCTGAAAACAAAGTAATGCCTAAAGATATTAAGCTCCCGGGGGGAGAGGGGGAGAAGTCTTTTCTAAAACTTGTTTTAACTTTTGATTGTCATTCCCATAACTAATTGCTATCTCCACAATAACTGTTATGTAGCACTGTGAAGAAAAACGACGGGAGGTATTTTCAGCAAACCCCTTTAGTTTTAAGTAAATAATTGGTTTAGCCTCATAAATAATTACTTCATTTGATGAATCATTTCAACTCATTTTAGGTTTCAGTAATATTTAATAGTCCCATACAGTAAAGTAATTGTGGAATTAGGAATTCATTTGTCACTCATGTAACTTATTATTTTAATTAGATGAAGTTAAAAAAGCTCTCTCTTTTTTAGGAAGATAATTTAAGTGACATTCAATATGTTCATCATTTCAGCGAGGGAACAGCAAATTGTCTTAATATCTAAATGCATTACCAGAGTGTACGTACATGCACATGCAGACACTCAACATCCGAGCCCCCAACCAAAAGGCCATGATACTTTCATAACAGTGACCTTGACACCTTTTTTCTTTGATGGAAATCGCATACAACTTCTGTCCAGACATGCTGAATGAAAGAGTTGAAACTGAAGAAAAAAATGTTCTCGGGTCATGGAAAATAGGTTGCTGTCTACTAGGGATTAGCAATGATCTCTATGACTGCAAATAATTTGGTGATAGGAAATGAGATGCCAGGTAAAAATGGCCTTTCCTGGCAAAATATGAGTCAATAGTTCCCAATGCTTTGCCTTTATGAACCACGTTGTACATCCAAGTATCTCAAAGCACTTGCCTAGCAATAGGGAATTAACCTTCCTAGCTCCTCTGCTGAATAGGTATCTTTCCCTCCATTTTATAGATGGGGAGTACAGGGTACAGAGAACTGAAGTAGTTTGTCCAGTGTCACACAGCGAGACACACTCAGAAGACCCAGCTCTTCCTCAGCCCTGTGCTTAGTGCCAGAAAGGGGAACACAGTGCAACCTATGCTACAGACATCTGAAAGCCAAGAGAGGTCAACCACTTTTTACCTCAAACTCTAATCAGAGACTAATGATGGGTATTTACACCAGCTAATGTTTCACTATAGCATAAGACTTGGGGCACTGCTAAAGCCTCTATAGTCAACGCCCCACTTTTTATCTCATTGAGGAGGAGGCTAATATATTTTCAGGCTGAGATGAGGTCAGCAGACCTTTCAGAGTCTGACCTGGCAGCCATGAGAAATGGAAAATGAGGATCCCATGGAGACATGGAATTGGAGCTAAAAAGCAAGGCCGGTCAGTTCCCCAGTTCCCAAAGAGGGCTGAGGGGGAAGAAGGGCAAGGGTTGAAGATTGATGAGGTGGGCAATAGCTCATATTTACATATCTGGGGCCAGTTTGACAGGAGAAAAAATAAGTTAACCCAAAAAAATAGAAATCTAATCTACTGTAGGCTTGCCGACTTGTCAAAAGCCTTCGAGCAAAGCAGCCACACTCAGCTATGCAGAGGTGTTCCAGCAAAGGACCCTGGCCAATAAATCTGTGTGATTTCCTGTTTCGAGAGACAGACAAAGAGATATGGCTAGGGATGGGCAGAGCTGTCTGCATAAAGGAAGAGTCCGTGTTTTCACCCCAAACCCAAACCCAACCTCTCCAAGGTTAGGAAAAGTTCAGTTCACTTGGTGGGGGGGGACTTTATTTTTCACTGTTGTATTTTTTCTGAGGGAGCTGGAAATTAGAGAGACAAATTATTCCTTACCAGTGGCAACCAGAAGTAGTGGAAATGTCTCACAAAAGCCTTTTCTCATGAGATTTCCAACCCAAAAGGTTTGGGTGTACAGTTTCTGGCCCCAGATAAGAAGTGGCTTTGTTTAATAGATCTGCTTGTGGTGAGAAATTGCTTCACACAACCCCACTATTTCCTTGCCCCTCTGTGTGCCCCTTGCTTTGCAACCCCTGCCCTGCTTTCCTCTTTTTCTGCAGCGCATAGTGCAAGATAACAGAAGAGGAAAGCAGTTTCCAAGTCAAAGAGACTTTGTTGTAAGGTCTCAGGAGAGACCATGCACGATGATAACAATGTTCCAGGGCTCCAGCTGTTAGATAAGAGTCTTCTAAACCAACTACACTTTTGCTGGAAATACAGGCAACAGAGTATAGGAATTAGGGGAGAGTTTCAGTTTTTACCTATAGGGGCACATCTACATGTTCATTAATGCACGATAGTTACTGCACATTTAATTTAGTACATGTATAATCAAGTACTAAATAAATGTACAGTAACTAGAGTTACCTTGCAGTAGTGCCAGCAAATGCCTTTTTAGTAACGCTACTGTGCAGTAGCCTAACAATACTACGCAGCAGCATCTTAGCATGGCTTGTGCTGTGAAGGGCTACTGAGCAGTGTTATTAGGCTACTGCACATTAAGCATCTGGTGTAGACACACCCAGGATAGACCTAATCCTTTAATGTTTTGCTACATAAATTTATCCAAAGTAGTCAACATTTGAAGACAGCTAGAATGAATGTGATAGAGCTCACATAGTTTTAAAGATCTCATGAAATACCCAGGCTGATGACTGTACAAGGAGTGTCCTTTCAGTATTACCATCAACTTGCAATCGTTATTTCACCCCTGATGCTCCTCTTAATGTTTGGACCTCCTCACCTCATACAGCCTCAGGCAAGCCTGTAAAGACTGGGCATGCCAAGCTCATGGCTCTTCTCCAGCTTTGAATGGCCAGTATTTATCATGTCACTTCACTCACTGACTATGTTTCTTTTACAGAGAGACCGAAAATCTATGAAAAGGAGACTGATTTTGAGAAGGTTGAGCGGGTGGAACTGGGAAGTAAACACAGACTTCAGTGCACTGCAAGTGGCAACCCTGAGCCCGAGATCCACTGGGAGTGGCAACCATGCAACCAGACAGGACTTCAGTAAGTGGTTACGCATGGGGCTGTCTTCAAAGGAGAAGTTCAGCACGAGCAGCTCGAGACATTCTTTTTCTAAGACAGTGTCTCCTCACTATGCTTGGGTGCCCGTGAATTGAAAGATTTCAAGGGTTCGGTGCAGCATTCATTTATTCATTTCAAAGGGCAAGTCCCCTGCCCACAGCATGGACAGCAGAAGTGTTCTGAATCAATCCCAACCCAGAGAGGTCCCCTTTGGCCAACGTTATTCAGCCCTTATCCCCTAAGCTGACAGTGTTGACAGAATTCTTCATCTCATCTGTTGAAATCAGTGGGAGGTTAGCCACTGAATTTATTAGCAGCAGGGCAAGATATTTAGGGCCAGGCGTGGAGGTGGTTTGTGCATTGTGAATGTCTGTCCACAGTCCTGTTCCGAGACCAAGGACCTCATTTGACACAGCAGATGATTACCCTGAAGCTACAGTAGATTCAGAAAAGTGATCAAGAAGGGAAAGGCTGTATCACCCCATTACAGCTTCTGTGAGCAATAATAATGATGCATTGTGGGATAAGGATCTTAAGAGGTTTTTTGTTTTTTTAAGGCAGACGTTACTGGTTGTTTTAAAGAGGCATTCATAATTCTCACGTGACTCAAAATTTAGGTTTGGTAAAAAAATAAACTTCTACAAAGACCTGTGACCCACGGAGAAATTTCCAAATCCTTGCATTCCAGTAATAGCAGCTACTTCAAAAACAAACAGACTTTCCCCCGCAGAATTTGCAGCCACGACTGCAGGTTTCATACATTCCTAGATTCTTGGGGCCAAAGGAGCCGTAATAATCAACCGGTCTGACTTTAGCCAGGTTCTGAAGTGTAACAACGGAAACAAAACTGGCTCCATTGATTTTCATTATACGAGCTGAGAAAGAAAAAAAAGAAAGAAAGAAAATGAGCAGGAGGCAAAGAGTGAAAAGAAAATTGGATTTTCCAAATCAATCCAGCTGCAGTAGTCTAAGGAGTAGCAGAACCATGGAAATGTACTTGTTTAAAGCAGAAGCTCTGATTCTCACTTAAACTAATCACCACTTTTATGCTGTTCTGACAGTAAACAACACCCACCTGATGGCTCCTTTGTGTTGTCAGAACGGGCCCAGGCCCCCTCTTGTAACTAGAATCAGGTGGGGGTTGTTTTTACCTGACAGCATCCCTTTCATTTATCTGTTTGCTTCTGTATATTTTCTGGTGTCTTTTGGGTGTAGACCAAGGAAGCAATGGATTTGTGTGAGAACCCCCCAAGGGCAGATCGGAAGGAAGAATGTACCCTCTAGTGTAGAAAAGGCATCCTTCTTATCACTGCAGGGGCTATCGATGGGCAAAACCTTTGAGGTTCAGGCTCAGTGTAAAGTCTAAGCAGATGCTCATCCACACTAGTCCCACGTGTGCAAGTGGGATCCTAAGGGCCTTCTTCATTGATTCCTTCTGAGCGGCTGCCCATCCACGCCAAGCTCCTATGTTGTATGGATGGAAGGGGCAGCATGAACCAAGTGCTTGGCTGTGAACATGTCTTTGCTAAAAAACTGGCAGCAGCAGGAGGGTTGATAGAAGCAGATGAAATCCACCAAGTCTGCATCTGTCAAACAGGAACTCAGCGAGTTAAAGTGAGGTGCTTCGTGATGTTTCTTTCATACATAGAAGTTCCTTTGTTCCTGTGGAGAAGTTAGCAGAGCGGCCTACAGGGAGAGGCCTTAGTGCAGACCTAAAAGGGGAGGGCTTCGCTCGGTGAGCCCCCATGGGAAATAAGGGAGCCAAACCTAACAACGCTGCTTGCAGTTTAACTCTCTTCTGTCATGAGAAAGCTGAAGTCAGATTTTCCTTCCACAGGCAGATGTGGGAATATGGGAAAAATGTGATGTTTGGTTCCTCCCCGCCCCCTCCTTTTACTCTTTCATTTGCAAAGTAGTAGTGGAAAATGTTTGAAGCTCAGGTTGCAGTTTCAAGTCTTTTTCAAGGTCTTGTTTGATGACAGGCTGCCGGACACAGACAGGCTGCAAAGAGCAGCGCCCAGACAAAGCTAGCTTAGTGCAGCTGCTTCCCCAAAAAGTTATGTCCCCTTATGCCTACCTGGTTCTGTAGCTCTAAGCATCCCAAACTTTCAGTCTCAGCAATGGTACTGTGTCAACCCAAGTGGTAAAAGAAAGAGTAGCCCAGTAATTGGCCTTGAGCTGGTTCACAGATGCACTTACCCTCCCTCCTCACCATACACGTACACAGAAAGAAGCAGCTGAGGATTTGTAGACCTTTGTTAGTCTTTGCACTAGCTTCTGTGCAAGGGACTTTCACTAAAGGGCTTTAGATTAAACCAGAATGGAAATACTATAGGGCAACATCTCAGGAAGAGGGCTGGACTGGGTGACTTCAGATATCTGTCAGTCCCTTCCATCCAGGGTGGAACTGTAGACTCTACACTGGAAGTACAATAGCCCCTTCCCTGTGTTAGCAACACACATGGTATGGGCATAAACACTGAGCTGATTCAGATTCAAACACTTGACCAGGCAGCAAAGGACCTTGCATAACCCTGTTCTCTGTGCTCCCTGAGCCATCCAGTCTCTGATGTTATCACTTTAAATACAATTGCAGAGTGGTGTCTACTTCTGCAAGCCTCCGGGACAGCCTTATCTCTCTCAAGCAGAAGCTGTAGGAGGATTCCTGTGGGAAATGACACACTCCCCACCCTCCCCGCATTTCCTCCTGTTGTTTCATTTCCTTTCCTCCTCTCTCTCCCTTTCTTTCCCCACGTACTCAAGAGCCCCACCATGCTATCATTGTTCATTCTCCGTATAGCTGTAATGTGATTTGCTTCCTTTGAGATCTGGCCCTCATGGCCATAAAATGGAATTGCTTATAGGCAACTGTGAAGGGCACTTTGTTTCAAAGGACACTAATGCTGATGAAGCCTTTGCTGATTCAGAGTTCAGCACATGCCCTTTGGTGGTATGGCAAAAACACAACTGCTCCAGCAGGTGCACTACCACAGGGACTTTCCATATTAAGGGCCTGGTTGTCACAAGTGCAGCTACCACAATTCTTGAGAAAAATCAGCAGAATTTGTGGGTCCTCCCTGCCTCTGAAAATTAGGATGTATACACTGTGGTTTAAATTTACCTTCTCTAATCCTGTTTGGATGCAAGGTTGAACTCCTCTGGAAAGTTCAGACTCCCTCCTTTCCTGCCCAACTCATTGAAACCTTGGCACCTCTACCAAAACTGCAGTCATGTGTGCTGGGGATTTTGTGATCAGAGCACATCACTTTTTGCCAGCTGAATTCCATTTACTAACCCACCATCTCATGGTAATAACCAACCTGGGCTGGATTTGAACGGACAACTTTTAAATGAAATGCACCATAGTCCAGCACAGACAGGCATTTCCTGAGCTATCAGACCCTTTAGGGGGGGCTAGAGATGGAACTTAAGGGCTATTATGCTCTGTAAAGTGTGTGTTCAACTCTGCCTAATGTGCAGGGCTGTAGTTAGGCAAACCAGAAAGTCTTAAATAGAGCAAATTCTCCTTATATGATTACAGGACACCACATTCTCTCTTCATTATCTAGCCTCAATTTTAATTCTTGAATGTATGCAAAATACTGAATTAATTTTCAGTGAATATGCATTATTATTATTCATTGACTTTGTCACTTCTCCCTCCTCCACTCTCCTCAGAGGCATCTACTCCAAACCCTTCTTCTGCAATTACCTTGACTGCTTGGCTTTTCTAGGCTGAGATACAGACAGTCTCACCCTTTGCTCCCTGCTGTTCAAGTGACTGGGGTTCTGAATTTCAGAACATACAGGAAGGCTCTGATATGTTTAATGAGCAGCGGCTGTAATGATCTGCAGGTGTAACTCCTGTTCTGAGGATCGCACTTGTGTGGTTTGATGCAACTACCCAAGACTGCGGTATCTTTATTTATTTTGTAGGAGTGCCTGCATCAACAAAGCATGAACCGGTCGGTGGTTTGGGCATTAACTTGCACATGGCTGCAGTTCCTTCTTTAACATGCAGTTAATTAAACTCTTTGTTCTTATTGTTTGCTAATTTGGGGACTGCAGTTTAGATGTAATCTGGCAGGTTAAACCACATTTTCTGGATAAAAGCTTAAACCAGATTTTAAAATGGTTTTCCAAATCAGTCTGAAATGCTATGATGGTGGAAAATCTCCACCAGAAGGCAGACATTTTTTATCACTCAGTTGTCATTGGCGCTTTCCAAGGAGCCCAGGGGTATTGCTACAGAAAGAGGCCACCTCTATTTGAACAGTGCCTATTTCTGCCAACTACAATGAATCATGCTTTTCAATACCATCCTCCTTTTTCAACCTCCAGATGCAGACCCCATCAGCAAAAAATCATGGTTCGGGAAAACATCACTGAGGAAGACAGGTCCATGGGCAACAAAATAGAGAGCATTGAAACCATGTCTGTCATACATGGAGAGAGAAAAAAGGTACGTTTCTGGTGGCACTGATATCATGGGCAAAGAATGGAAGAGATGATGCGGTCAAGCAGAGATGCAGGCCCCGTGTTTCTCAGGCACTGATTTCCCTTTCACTGCTAACTGTTAACATGCTTTACATTCCACAGCCCTGGGATCATTTTGAGCTCTTGACTGTTTACGAATGTTTAGGACTCCGGCAATGATGTCATTCTTTCTTCTTGAAACTCTCCAAAGACCTGGGGGTCAAAAACCTTTTGGTCATACTCAGCCTTGAGAAAGTGTAAGGCAGGCACTGGGTAAGGGGGCAAGGTGGGGCTTAAGAGCACAGAGGCAATAATGACCCTAAGCTGTTAGTACTTTCCATATGCAAAGTGCTCTATGATGGGCTGAACAGATAGGCTACCAATACCATTGTGACGGGGAAAGCATTGTCATTCCAACAACAGTAGCTCAAGATCTACATTATTAAAGGAGCCCACTAAGTTTGGGTACCTCCAATTCTTGGGTGCTCAGTTTGAGGCAGGTTGGCCTCATTTGCTGAGGTTCCAAGTGCCTGCAGGTCCCCCCCCTGAGTTGTGGTTGTTCATTACCCCTGAGGCACCAGCCACCCCACGGTGGATTGTAAGGGTAAGGCTATATCCTGTCTCTCCTTCTGCCCTGGCTGGCCGTGTTAGCTAGCCACAGAAGGCCTCCTGCAGACTTCAAAGAAGGGGCACAGTGAGTATACTCCCTCTGTGTACTTAGAAGAGCCAGTTGATGCAGCATCTTACAGAGCTTTACCTAGGCACGTGCACATGCCTTAGCTGAACAAACTTGTGCATTTCAAAGACCAAGATGGCGCCATTTATCAATGTCCATTCCAATCAGTGGCAACTGAGTCTGTGAGTATTTGGCTCTAGGTATACAGATTTCTGATCCTGCCCCAAAGAAGGTTTGTGTTTTGGCTGAGGCAGTTGTTTAACCCATAGTCATTGTACTTACATTGGGTTACTGGTCTTGGGGTGCTGTCACAGTTCCAGGATATGTATATGCACATGCCTGGGAAAAGGAGCAGAGATGCCTTGGATGTTGGGGGACTTGATCCTGCCTGGTACTGAATGCCTTGGTCCTGATCCCACAAAGCACTTAAGCATGTGGTTCTCTTTATGGGCTACTCACATACTTAAGCACATGCTGATGTGCTTCCTTGGTTCAGGTCCAGTACAATCAGCACCTGGCAGGATCGAGTCCTTGGCCATCTGGTCTTTCTCATGGAGACTTTCCAGTGATCAACATAATCTAAAGCAGAGCTCTGAAATGTGCATGTGGGGGAGAAAACCACAACTGCCATTTAATTCCCAAAGTTGTCTCTGTGCCATGGCTACCCTACATTTATGGAGTGTTTAAGTGTTTAAGTAACACAGTGTCCCTTATGCTTTGTCTTTACCTACTCCCTCGGTCCCATAATTTTAGATAAGACACAATCAGTTGCTTCTAAAAAATCTCAGCAATTGCTGTTGAGAACGGGCCATTGGCTCAACCTTTAACGGGGCAGAGAACATAACAAACCATTCCAAACCTGAGGTACAGGGTTTTATCTTTAAAAAGGCCACAGAAACCCTTTCTGGGGGGAAAGGTAAGCTAAGCTCTTCTGGCAGCTCATGGTGATCTCTTTCAGTTGGGATGAAAGCAACTTGTACCCATGAAGCTGCTTCCTTTGCTTGGTACATGTGTAAAATAGAGACAATTGTGGTTCTAAGGGCTGCTGCCTATTTCAGGTCTGCTGATCTCCTGCTAATAAGCCCAGGTTTCTAGCGTCTTTTCATGTCTGTGGAAGCCAGGAGTAGCACTACTGATGCATGCGGCACTGTAGCAGTGTGAAAACAGCCTGAGAGGAAAACCAGGCTCCCTGTGTCTGTGAGTAGGTCACAGGCCCTTATGCGTCCAGGGACTTCTTTATGTTTGAGAGAGAATTTAAAACATTGAATTGGTCCCACAGTGCAAATTGCTGTAATGGTTCCAAAACCTCCTCTCCAATAGTTTTTCAGTTGTGCCTCAGGCCTGGATGGCAGAGAGACAGAGGCAAAAAAAAAAAGTGTAAGAATCACCATTTAATTTTGTTTAACACAACACACCCATGCACAAACACACACAGTCACTCCCTCCAACTCCAAAACAAAATATTTTTTTGTGCAATGTCTCACCAGGGGCAGGTGCCTGACAGTTTGTTTCCAGGGTGGAATTTCAGTCTCGCTCACTGGGAATTTGGGGCCTGAATACAGGTGGGTGCTGTGAGAAGAGAGCCATAAAGGAGCATGAGGTGCTCCGAGACTGTGGCATTGGGACCATGTAGTCTCCGAAAATAGAAGCACCTTCCACCCAGATTTCCCTCTCTCTTCTCTGGCTCTCCATGAGGTATTTCTTTCTCTGGCAGGCAAACCTTTTTGGTCCTTCTGGGGGGTTTTGAAGCAATTTTGTAGCGGACTGGATTCCAGTCTTCAGTCCCCTTCTCCTTCCTTTGTTCCTCTTTCTAGATTTCAGTCTTGAGTTTGGGTCTTTGTTCATTTCCAAAAGCTCAGCACACATCCTTTGTACTTCAGTGGTTAAATGTTTCATTATGAAGCTGCCATAAAAAGATACTGCCATGAATTATATCATCTTGCAATTTATGAAGCTTTCATTATTTTCCTCTTCCCCTGACCCGTTGGTTGGAAATGCACTCTGATGTCTCTCCTAATAACTGTGCATCTTGATTAAGATTTATTCTTATTAATAAAACTGGATTCTGTACATCTCAGATTTCAGCTCTCTTGTCTGCCTGCTTATGTTACTGGACAGTCCCCTCCCCCAGCTTTATGAAGTCTAAACCTATCTGTGCTAAGTTTAGTGGAGATACTAGAATGTAAAATAAGGAGCACACTGATCAAATCTTGAGCCTTCGGACTCTTGTGTTTTATCAGTGATTCTTCCCACCAGAACTGAAACATACAGGATAAAAACCTATCCTTTCCCACCATGTCCTAACAAGTAATTCATCTGCATTCGACTAGCCAAATGAAATAATAAAGATGTTGGAGACTAGGTTAACCTGGCTTTTATTGACTGTGTTTTGAAGCTGGGATCAGTGGAGATTGGTTATTCTTTCCTTTGTGACTTGAGCCTGTCCTGTTTTTGCTGAAGGCCTGCAGAGAGGAGGGTGAAGTTTTTGTTGGTCTCTAGAACATCAGTCATGTCACTCCCAGTCTCTCTGCATTTCAGAGTCTCAGAGAGCTCCGGCGATGCAGGTTTGTGTAGCGACATTTAAAAAAAATAATAGAGTACCGTATTTCATAGTGTGTAAGTTGTGTTTTGAAGCCCTATTTTGGGGGGTTTAAAAATCTAACTCAACTTATACACCGTGCCACATCAAAAATGGGGCACGGGGCTGGGCTCAGTGCTCAGCTGGCATGACCCCATCCCCTGTGAGCGGCACTGCCTGGGCCACACCAGCACTACTCGCAGGGGAAGAGGCCACACCAGCCAAGCATCAAGCCTGGCCCAAACTTATCTGTGCCTATAAAACTACTTACCTTTCAGATCAGAAAGCCAGGGGTTGACCTATACACTGTGTCTACCTATACACCGTGAAATATGGTAACCCTTTTAGTTCTGTGAAAGCTAGAGACACGTAAACAGACCCCCACAATGAAATCTCGCGAGTGAGGAGCTGCTGCCTCGAGCCAGAATTTTGCACTGGGTTTTGAAGTTTCTTGTAGACCCTGCATTTTTAAAGCCTTGAATTTGCTATGGGTCAGTAGTCAACCAAGAGCTGCTATGCTACTGGCAATGATTTTACTCAACTGACACATGTGGCCACTTTATAATGATCACATACTAGGGTCCTGAAGCATCATTTACACATTAAACTACATTATCCTTGCAGGGTAAATGAGAATTATATTTATTATTATGAAGTTAATTTCTCCCTCCTTCCTCTGTGGAGTTCTCTGCCTAAGACTGAGGACTCAAGAGTGAATTTCATTGTTAAGGCAAAGCATGTGGCTATCGTTGATAACACAACATTCTTCATGAGAAGCAGGGTGTTAACTCTGTTCTGGCCAAAACTCTGGTTTCAGCAATTATGTTCTACCCACCTAATTTCTCCCAGTCATTCTGGACGGACACTGTAGTCTCCAATTCTTATTTTTAAAGTGCTATGCAGCTGCCAGAGATGGCTTCACTTGGCCCTGAAATGAAGCTTCCACTAGTGTGTTGGTTGCTTTGGGATCTCCCCTTCATCCAGCCTACAGATCAGGAGCTCACTTCGAAGAGGCAGTCTGGGTTTTAGTTCCTGCTTTATGTATTTTATCCAATGTTTGCATGAAGAATCCCCTCAGACAAAAGTGATCATATCTAGGTAGGTGATATCACACTGGGCTGTGAATGCCAAGTGGAGGGAGATGCCTTTGAGTAGTGCTGAGTAAGGCACCGAAAACCCAGAGAGGGCAGGGATTGATCAAAGTACAACCCAACCCTCAGCCTTACCTAGGACAAGCTCTAGACAGCTCCCTATTCAGCATGGCTGGGTGGAGGCATCAAAGCCATGTCTACACATCAAGCACATTGTGCCAGGCAGCAGTACCCTCAGACATGCCACAGTGCTCCGTGCAAGCTGCCTACCAAATCAGAAGCAGCATGGCAACATCCACAAGGCCCTGTGAGCAGGCCAGTTGGCCCTGTCACTCACCAGCACTGATTAGATCACCCAAAGTGGCACATGGACGTGGCTATGCCACTTCTACTTTAGGAGGTAGCCCACGCAGAGCCATGAGGCATGTTGAAGAGCACTGTCAGTGGACCATACATATTTGCCTTGCCTCTCACCTTGCATTTATTAGGGAGCCTCCAGGACTACTTCAGGGCTCTGGATTTCACACTAGCATTGGGTGGGTACCTCCCAGCTAGGCATTGCAGTGTTCAACACTGTGGCAGCTAACTGCTACTTCGAATCTGGGCCTCTGTGCCTGAAAGGATCATATCGTGGATGGCGC